GCATGTGATGTTAACTATACAATGCCTGAGACAGTGTGCGTGGAGAGTGTAGTCATAGTGGCATGTGATGATAATTATATAATGCCTGAGACAGTGTGTAGAGTGATGTTAATTCTTATTGTATGTAGTGATGCTAATACTTATTATGTGTAGTGATGTTAACACTTATTGAGTGTAGAGTGAAGTGAGCACTTATTGTATGTAGTGATGTTAACACTTACTGTATGTAGTAATGTTAATACTTATTGTGTGTAGAGTGATATTAACACTTGGTGTGTATAGCGAGACAGTATCAATCCATGTACGAAAGAGAGTAGCCCATATATGGCAACTAAATACCTACCTAAGCCACCCGTCTCCGGTTCCGTGTCCCTGGTAGTAACCGACCTGTGTCTGTCAACTTCCCTGGACCTGGATCTGGACCTGCCATCGCAGAGCATTCAAAGCCCGAATAGGGGTGTCACAAACGCATAAACAGAAACCAGAAGGGGTAGATATGTAGATACTACATAGGGGTGTGACAAACGCATAAGCAGTAACCAGAAGGGGTAGATATGTAGATATGTAGATATAACATAGGGGTGTGACAAACGCATAAACAGTAACCAGAAGGGGTAGATATGTAGATACAACATAGGGGTGTGACAAACGCCCAAACAGTAACCAGAAGGGGTAGATATGTAGATACAACATAGATGTGTGACAAACGCATAAGCAGTAACCAGAAGGGGTAGATATGTATTTATAACATAGGGGTGTCACAAACGCATAAACAGCAACCAGAAGGGGTAGATAAGGTATCACATAGGGGCGTGACAAACGCATAAAAAGTAACCAGAAGGGGTAGATAATATACCACATAGGGGTGTGACAAACGCATAAACAGTAACCAAAAGGGGTAGATATGATACCACATTGGGGCGTGATAAACGCATAAACAGTAACCAGAAGGGGTAGATAATATACCACATAGGGGTGGGACAAACGCATAAACAGCAACCATAAGGGGTAGATAAGGTACCACATAGGGGTGTGACAAACGCATAAACAGCAACCAGAAGGGGTAGATAAGGTACCACATAGGGGCTTGACAAAGGTATAAAAGTAACCAGAAAGGGTAGATAATATACCACATAGGGGTGTGACAAACGCATAAACAGTAACCAGAAGGGGTAGATATGAGATACAAC